CCTGGCCGTTTCACACATCCGCACGGAAAGACACATACCGGTAGCCATTGAATGCAGCCTCAGTTGCAGGAGTGAGTCGAGTGTGTGTCAGTACACTACATGTAGTACGTAGTGCAACTCACACGGCTAGGCTACTGGCATGCCATAACATACTACAGCTTTAACCCTTTGTGGGTCTTACTCAATGTATGTGAGGGGTGGTCACGCAAACACGCGTACAAACAACGAGCCATAACTCAAGTTCCGTGAGTTGTAGGTATGGGTAAACTATATATTTTCAAAATCTGTATGCCTGGACGCGTCCAGAAAACACAAATATGACTATGTCCAGGCAAGGATATGACCCGTGGTAGCCCTTCAAGTTGAGAGAAAATACAATTGCGAACAAAAAAGCACAAAAATCACAGCACGAAGTGGATACCAAGTTCGTGATGGAGCTGAAGTCCCATGATAAACAATCAGGTAAGCGCTACGTCTTGGTGAAGAATATATGCTCCTAATTCCGTCCTTGAACTCCAATACCTCGCCATCGGCGATGCACCAGCAGCAACAGTTCCACAATATCACAATTTTGGTTCGTTCACCTCAGCGCCGCTCGCGTCAGATTCACTCTCGCTCAGATGAGTACTCAGGCGCGATGTCACGCGTGCCGTGATTCTCACGGCCAGGCGAATCAGCTGATCGCACCTGACAAGTCCCTGTAAGAGTTGCTGTTGCTGTGCTTCCTCGCTGGTTGGTAAATTTGCCATGATTTCTTCATTCGGGGACGATTTATTTGAGCTAGGAGGACTCAACGGAGCTCTCTTCTCACGACATTACACTGGAAATCCTCCAGGGCCATCCAGCCTAGACTGGTGCCGTCAGTGTCCTCAGAAAGCTTTTGTGACACGGCTTCAAGAGATGCACTCCCATTCTCGAAATGCGCGCATGGCGGATGGTCGTCTTTTCCAATTTCACCAGACTTCAGTCGATCGATACTGCAAAAATTTGTATGGTAAGTATGGTTGTTTTTTACACCGTTGGAAAACCTGGGCCCTCAGCTACGAGTGGAGCACCATTTTAGTTGTCTCCTAGCAACAAAACTCACAGAAAATGCGATTTTACTGTAAGGGTCACATACGACCCTTACGCTTATGTGAGACCCATAAAGGGTTAATAGTACAAGTGCAGTGACACAGCAGTAACGAGTGAGTTGACAGCACGCGAGAGCCGCGGACCTGATGCCATGTCAGCGCATCGCCAGTTTTCCCGCAGTTACATGTACATGTATCATGGTTATCGCGCGCTGCTGCTTCAGTGATTCAAGGCTACATGGTCTGTTGCGGGCGGCCAAGCCCAGTCGTAGTCCGCTTCATCAGTTTGCCAGAAGGGCCGCCAATGCTCGCAAACTGCATGTGAGTGATTTGCGAATTGACAGTTAGAATTCTCACCCCTCTCTTCGGGGATGTTTGATCAAGCTGGCGATAGCCCTCCCACCCTGCTTCAACTCAGCATCCTCTCCCTCGCCTTGGGTAATTCCCGAACAGGTAGGTGAAGAAATCTGGGATGTCGCTACCCAAATCTCCTGTTCGCCCTCGCTATGTCACAGCGTGTGTTGATGATCTTGGCGTCATCATGGTATTTCATGTCATATAATTATCAAAGTGAAGAAGAATGCCGAGCATCGCACTCGTACTCGTAGTCATATCACTACACAGTACACTCTCCAATCTGCACTGACACGTTTCCTGCACAGCTACAACTACAAAATATAAGTCCGTACAACGCTGTGCTGCCTACTAAGTGTTCTGAACTGTTGCTTCCAAATCCAAGTTCCAACTCTCATCGTTGAGTAAGTAGAAAATAACAATACTCAATAGCGCCATGCTGCGAGGTAGGCCTGTCACTGTACATGGCAGACACGACTCTGCAGTCTTGTCCTTTGTCAAGGCTTTGAGTCTTGTGCTGTCTTGATTGAACTACTTACTAAGTTACTTGTTGGCATCATGGACATTGGTGCTATGCATACCCCAGGCGAATGGCATTCCTGCCCAATTATCATTATGCCCCATGTAATGTGCGTGTGGGGCTGCCTGGGAAGAATAGTGAATCACAAGGGTGACTGCGAAATCGCACGTCAGTCAGGCGGTATGATCCAGTTCGAACGTTCATTATTAGCATGTATACTTCTACTTGACAATAACATACAGTCATTATCAACGTACTAAAATAGCTATGAATTAACGCCTATGGTGGCCGGTGGCCTCACATTCTCCTTGCAATAATTGCATTTTAATATAATTATATAATTGATCTGCCCACGTTATTTCAATAATAGGAACGTCGTGCGATTGCAGTAAATGACTTGTGTTGTTGACGTCGCCCGCTGTGCATTGTGTACAGAGCTGGTGTGATACTTTGACTTTGACGGCTGGTACACGTACCTGTACATGCCCTAGGTCCTTTTTAGTCTTTGTAATACTAGTTTTTGGAAGCCCCGAGGAGGCTCGTAGCCACAGGACTGGATCATGGAGCTCACCGAGTTTACTTACTCCCAGGTCTCACTCTCTTAGAAAGCTGGTAATCATTATGTGTTCGTTACGCTGTGTCCTTATCACTTATAAAGACGCTAATGACTTTATACCCCCACCGTTAGGCGCTGCATCTGCTGCTAGGGTTTACCGGGTGTTAGCGGCCGTCGTGAGTTCCCTTCAGGAACGTGGAACGGACACGATAATTTTTTAATATTTTTTTAATGACTTTTGTGACTTTATGTAGGCAGGCATAGTGGGATGGTCTAAGACGCCCGAGACGCAAGCTGCGAAGTTTAGTGTCACTGTTGGCAACGCATTTGCATCTCTAAGTCAGGATGTGGATAATATATCTGTGCAATGACTGGAAGAAGATTAGGCAACGACCCTGCTGCTCATGAACTGAATATGCAAACGCAAACTCCAACAATTCGAATTTTACTGCTGAACATTAGGAGCCTGAGGAACAAAGTTGGAGAGCTGGCATGGCTTGCCGACCTTCACAGTCCTGACATCATCTGTGTCAACGAGACCTGGCTAGACGACACCGTGTCTGATGGAGAGATAGCTTTGGATGGCTTCAACATACTGCG